CACACTATTGATGTCAGTGCTACTTTTACAAGGCAATGCCTGGGTGTATAAAGGCATTCGGTGCACACAAAGTGTCTGTATAGCCGTTTTGCTATTGAACAACGTATATAATTACGAGTTTTTGTGGCCGGTGTTCAACTTTAAGTCCCTGCGTTGCATCTGTGCCCGCCCGCAGCGTGGCGGGAGTAGTGGGGAAAGTCAGGCTAAGTAAAGTCTATTTGTGTTGATGCAAATAGCGGATTTCTACTTTAACAAGTGTCTGCCACGGCCTCAGTACATGCAGGATGACGATGAGTGGACAGATTTGGGTCGGACCTGCTCGCAGAGCTCTCTTCCCCTCTCAGGCTGTTTGTCTTGCTGTGGTTTGCTACTGCAATGTTTCACATTCATGGGCTGACCACGGTCTATACCACGTGCCCTATAAAGAGATGTGACTATGACGAAACAGTGCAGAACACATGTACCAGGAGACCGAGTATTAACTCTATCCTAACTTCACTGCTACATGCACAATGGACACCTGTGGTGGTTGGAGGTGCTTACCATCAGAATGGATACCTGTGATGGTTGGAGGTGCTTCCTATAAGAATAGACACCTGTGATGGTTGGAGGTGCTCACCATCAGAATCGACACCTGTGATGGTTGGAGGTGCTCACCATCAGAATGGACACCTGTGATGGTTGGAGGTGCTCACCATCAGAATAGACAACTGTCATGGTTGGAGGTGCTCACCATAAGAATAGACAACTGTCATGGTTGGAGGTGCTCACCATAAGAATAGACAACTGTCATGGTTGGAGGTGCTCACCATAAGAATAGACAACTGTCATGGTTGGAGGTGCTCACCATAAGAATGGACACCTGTGATGGTTGGAGGTACTCACCATCAGAATGGACACCTGTGATGGTTGGAGGTGCTCACCATCAGAATGGACACCTGTGATGGTTGGAGGTACTCACCATCAGAATGGACACCTGTGATGGTTGGAGGTGCTCACCATCAGAATGGACACCGGTGATGGTTGGAGGTACTCACCATTAGAATGGACACCGGTGATGGTTGGAGGTACTCACCATCAGAATGGACACCTGTGATGGTTGGAGGTGCTTGCTATCAGAATGGACAATGGATGTCTGTGATGGTTGGAGGTGCTTACTATCAGAATGGACAATGGACGCCTGTGATGGTTGGAGATGCTTACTATCAGAATGGAAAGTGGACGCCTGTGATGGCTGGAGATGCTTAGTATCAGAATGGACAATGGATGCCTGTGATGGTTGGAGGTGCTTAGTATCAGAATGGACAATGGACACCTGTGATGGTTGGAGGTGCTTAGTATCAGAATGGACAATGGACACCTGTGATGGTTGGAGGTGCTTAGTATCAGAATTGGACATTTTCAAATGTTCCATAATCAGCGCTGGTCAAATCCCAGAAGTCAGGTAGGCAATGCTCCTTCAATGTCACAGCTAGAGTTCTTCTCTAGTTTTCAAAGCAACTGACTCCTAAAAATATCCTGCCGATTCTTGGATTGGACAGACTGGTTCCTCAATTCAGTATTAATTTGTCCACCTCTGCCATAAAGAATGAATGGTACAGTGTGTGGCTCAATGTGAGTGATAACCATTGTTGCCTTATTCACCGGTACAAAAAGCCACATATTGAGACGCAGTCACTATTGGGGGGGAAGAAACCTACTCAATACGGCCAGCCTATTCAGCAGTAACAAATGTTCGGCTAACGCGCAGTATGGAAGTTGCTGACATCTTAATCACCAGTCCTCCAGCCAAGGAAGTAGGGAAGGATTAGGTTGGGGATTTTTTGTGACTGAATTATTAAATCCCTACTGGGAACATTTCCCATTCCTGTCAGTCCAGGACATAAGACATCCTCCAATGGGGACACAAATTAGCGGGCTCACAAGGACAGGAAATATGGGAAAATCTCCCCATTGAAGTCATGGACTGGAATAAAAACCTGGAACATGTTAACGCTTCTTCACGCTAGTCAAAACCTGATAAAACAATACAAAAAATTGGACTGAAACACTTTTAAAGACCCTAACAGTTCTAAGCACATCATCCTTCTTCTTTCTAGGCTTTAGATGTGTGCTCTGCCAAAACTCTTTAAAAATCATTTTCCATTGTCATAGCCAGGCTGATGCAAGGAATGCCAGCTCGGCACAGAAACATGCCGGCTTGGCCATAGTAATCCTATAGCAGTCTTCCACGCCACTGCAACTCATGTTATAGGTAGCCAAAAAGGGGAATGTCCTCTTTAAAGTGAACCTGCGCCCAGATGATGCACACTAAAGTATATACATATTCTGAACAAGCAGTAACACACGTTTTATTAAATCGTCATTCGCCTCCGTAGCTATAGGCATTGTGGAAATACTAATTTTCAAAATTTACAAGACAAGCAGTGAAACCTCAGCTTTTTTTCCTATGAGAGCGGAATCTTGGCAGCCTGCCAACCCTCTAATATAAACATACAGCGGGTGTCTCCAAGCGGTTGTCTTCGTCGGGATGATCACTTTGAGGATGAATTATTTCACATTAAAAAGCAGCTAGAGAGATAAGCAATGGCTTGTTTTGAAGCTCACTTCTCCATTCCTGTGCATTGCGTTAATGAGTGTTGCGTCATGCTTTCACGTGCACTGCATAAGGCAGCCCATTCATTTTGGATGAGGTGTCAACGCTGGGGAAGGTGCAAAAAACAGACATGCAGCATTCTTTCCTGATGCAGTGCTCCACAAGATATCTTAGCGTGTCACAGTGCAGTGTGATGCGGTGTGCTGCAATGTATGTGTGTTGGCGCTGTGTTGCCTTGCTGCGATGGCGTGCCCTGTAAAATGAATGGCACTGAAAAGCACTCAGCCACATAACATGCGGTAACGTGTTGAGGTAACATGCGCGTTACCACAAAGCACCCAGCACACGAAGAGTGCGCTGGGAAACTTGTTGCTGTTGTACCACAAAGCACCCTATAGCAATGGTGTGTTTCAGACCAAAAACAAGGGGAGTCTTGGTTGTCTTACATGCTGGACACTATTTTACAATGTGCGCAACCTCGCCTCTTGAAACCTTAAAGTGCATGTAAGCTGAAGCTTTTTTTTTTTTCTAGTTTTGGATAATGAAGGGACGATATCCTGGGCCTGGACCAAATGCCCTTCTGGAAAGATAGGATTGTAGACACCCGCCCTCCCACATTCCCCCCTGCAGACTGACTGACCCTTCCAATAATCCAAAACTCCTCAAATCTGAGACCAGGATGTGGTTTTGGATCACACTCAGCAGAGCATTGCACCACAGTTCTTCAGCACTGCTGGGGACTCTGCAGCACAATTCTGCCATCAGACACTGTGCAGCGTGATTATACGCTCTGTCACCCACAGAATAACACTCAGTGCAAGTGTCATGTATTGAATGCTGAAGCCGGGACCTGAGGGGCGGGCTTCCGATGACTGTAATGAGGGACGGGCTTACGATGACTGCAAACGGGCAGTGGGCACACCGGCCCGTTCGGCAGTTGTCGAACCAGCAGGCCACTAACTCGCCGAGAATCGCACGATTCCCGGCGGGTTTTCTAGCATGCTGGTTCGACGGAAGACGTGCGACCGTACAGTAGAAGCGGTTGCACACCTGCCATACACTGCACGATTCTCGTACGATCATGGGATTTCGTGCAGTGTATGGGAACAATACATTGTATGGGGACCACTGTTATATTGTATATACACAGAGATCTCATGATCAATATATTGTATGGGGACCGCTGTTATATTGTATATACACAGAGATCTCATGATCAATATATTGTATGGGGACCGCTGTTATATTGTATATAAACAGAGATATAATATTCTATATATTGCATGGGGGGCACAGTTACATTGTATATATTCACCAAAATCTCATAATCTGTGTTGTAAAGCGCTGTGCAAACTGTTGGCGCTATATAAATCCTGTATAATAATAATAATAATATTGTATGGGGACCAATGTTATATTGTATATACACAAAGAGATCTCATGATCAATACATTGTATGGGGACTGCTATTATAATGTATATACACAGAGATCTTATGATCAATACACTGCAAGGGAGGCACTCTAACATTGTATATGCACACCAAAATTTCATAATCCTTATATTGTAAAGCACTGCACAAACTTTTGGCGCTATACAAACACTGTATAATAATAAATAATAAATATTGTATGGGGACCATTGTATATACACAGAGATCTCATAATCTATACATTGTATATACAGAGAGTTCCATGTGTAAAGGAAAATATACATCATTATATACAGAGTCCTGTGTAATATAATCCTTATTGACAAAACACTCCAAGTCAGATATAGAGGAATGCCGCGTGTATAAATAGACATCAATAAATCCAGACACACATGTCTCTGTAATTGATGATATACATGTGTGTGTGTCAGATATACATAGTACACCCCACTCAGCACCAGCATACCAAGATAGATGGATAGATAATAGATAGAATGAGATAGATAGATGATAGATAGATAGATAGATAGATAGATAGATAGATAGATAGATAGATAGATAGATAGCACACCAGTGGCTGCTGGGCTGATGTGAAACTACAGATCCCAGCACCCCCTGCCCTAAACATACACAGAGAGACCCTGATGTACACATGCAATGCACACATGCCACAATAGAATGACCAATGTGTCACCTGTTAGTACATGACAAATCCTGTAACTGGGACTGTGTGCTGAATACAATCTCAGAGCAATGGCTTTCTACCATAGGACCCTGTATACAGAATGTATATACACAGCCACGAGCCATATTCAAGCATTGCATTATGAAATGTGTCTGCATGTGCAGCAGGCTGAACACCGCTCTGGCTTTGACAGCTCCACGCACATTGGTCTGCACAGTGCAATGTCCAGAGTCCGCCGGCTGAGTGCAATGTGTCACCCGGCCCCCAATCAGCGCGCACACACTTACGCGATCTTGAAGAGGGGCTTCTCTGTCCGGGCCATGAGTCCCCGGGGCAGCCGACGTCTCAGGAGCAGTGCGATCCCTCCACACCCGCAGCACAGCAGCACCGCGGACAAGATCATCAGCACCGCCGGCATAACACTCCTCCAGGTGTCCCGGCCCCGCCCAACTCCGCTCTTCTCCGCCCCCGCACACACCCCCCTGTCAGACTCTGGACCGCTACGGCGTCCCCGGCAGCGCTCGCACAGCGACCCCCGGTGGTCAAAATTGGGTACTACGCCTTTGTGGCAGAAGCGCTACTTGCAGGCTTGTTCTATGAAGTCTGAGCTCCAGACAAAGAGCTGAATACAGATCAATACAGATCAGTATAGATCGATACAGATCAAAACAGATAAATACAGATCAATATAGATCCTTGTGCTCCTCCTCTCTCTCCTTCTCTGAGGTCTGCTGTATAAGGACTGTAAGAGGCTGATAACAAGTCAAATGCAGGTACTTACACTGTGTGCATAAAATGCATTTGAAGACCAACTCCGGACACCAAAAAAAAATAAATAAATAGCCTTTCAGTGGAAAGGGCTCATTAATCATTAGGTCCCTGTTCACACCTGGGCGTTTTGACGCTGAAAGCTGAAGCGACAAAAAACACAACACAAGAATTCCTATTCATTCCTATGGCCCCTGTTCACACGTGAGAGTTTAGCAGGAAGCTGTAAAAACGCTGAACGCTTGCAAAGGTGCATGAGCTTCTTTCAGGCAGATTCAGCACATTTGTGCTCCATAGATTTCAATGGAAAACGTGCCAAAAACGCGCGTTTTTAAGGCGCATATACATTGTGGAAGACCACCTGCAAAGCACACTGGGAAGCAAAATGGCTGATTTATGTCTGCAAAACTTTGACTCTGAGGCATTTATAAGGCTAATACAGGCACAACCATGCCTATACGACCTGCGCAACCCCCTTTAATAAAACAGAGGCAGGAGGAGGCGGGGCTTGGATCCAAATTGCTTGCCAGGTTTGGCCAGAATGGGAATCTTTCCCTCCATCCCTGAAGGACAGCAAAGGTAAAACATGTGCATGTGACACGTGTTGCATCTAAAGTTTGTTCTGATACTGTTGTAGCTTATGTCTCTGCTTGCTTGTGTGGCTATTGTAGGTCTGTGCAGCTGCAGATCTCCATGTGTTGTGGAACTACAAATCCCAGTATGCAGCTACCTCCTGGGTGTCATGCCTGTTTCTCTTCTGGGTGCACAGACTTTTACATGCATCACAGGACTTGTAGTTCCACAGCTGCTGAAAGGCTGATGTTGTTAACCCCTTGGCTAATGTGTAGGAGTTTATTATGTCATGGGCAGAACTTTTTTTCATTGGACAACACTCAATACACCCATATGTAGAAACACGTCCAAAATGCGCATCTATTTAGGGGAAACGCGCACGAACACGCACAAAAAGCACGTAAAATGCGCAAAGAAAAAATGTGTGTAAAACGCGCGGAAACGCTGACGCCTAGGTGTGAATGGGGACTAAGTGTCGGGGTAGAGGAGTCGGCTGTAATACTTATCTTATTCCTCGCTCTGGCAGGCTTCCAACAAATGCGGACCTTGCAGTAAAAATGAATGGTCCACTTGTGAAACCAATCCCCATCTATGTAAGGATGAAGCCCCGCCCCCTTCCAGCGAGATTCCAGGAACACTAGACATTCGGTTTATATCTGCATGGAGTTGGTACATTCTCTTTGTGCTTGCATGGGTTTGCTTCGGGTACTCCGGTTTCCTCCCACACTGCAAACACACGCTGGTCGGTTAAGTGCCTCCTCTCTAGATTGGCCCTGTATGCAGGGTCGGATTTCCCACAAGGCCACCGAGGGGGGCAGAGGGGCAGCACAGACGCCGGGCAAGTAGTTTTTTTCTACATTTAGCCCTGCTTCGGGCAATTGAGGAACCCGGCCTTGGGGCAGCAGAGAGTAAATCCGGCCCTGGCTGAAAGTATTGGGACGCCGGCCTTTACACGCATATAAACTTCAATGGCATCCCAGTCTTAGTGCGTAGGGTTCAGTATTGGGTTGGCTCCGCCCTTTGCCGCTATAACAGCTTCATCTCTTGTGGGAAGGCGTCCACAAGGTTTAGGAGTGTGTCTATGGGAATGTTGGACCATTTGTGAGGTCAGGTACTGATGTTGGAGGAGAAGGCCGGGCTCGCAGTCTCCGCTCTAATTCATCACAAAGGTGTTCTATGGGGTTGAGGTCAGGACTCTGTGCAGGCCAGTCACGTTCCTCCCCCCCAAACTCCCCCATCCATGTCTTTATGGACCTTGCTTTGTGCAATGGTGCACAGTCATGTTGGAACAGGAAGCAGCCATCCCCAAATGTTCCCACAAAGTTGGGAGCATAAAATTGTCCAAAATGTCTTGGTAAGCTGATGCACCAATATGGCCACCGCTCGTTCGGCCTATGATAGGGTTGCCACCTTTTCTTCAAGCAAGACCCGAACACTCTAACGACGCACATACATTTTTTTTGGGAGAATGAGCCATGGCTTATTCACATGGAAATAGTGCCGTCCATTAATATGTAAATATCGCAGTTGAGACTATTTTCAGTGGGGGCCAGTAGCCCCTATCTTAATTTTGGTTGCCCCTGTCTGCCTGACATCCTGTGTCCGGGTTTCTGCTGCCATGAAACCCGAACACAGCATTCAAAACCCGAACTGTCCGGGTGGCTCCCGGACAGGTGGCAACCCTAGCCTGTGATGTCACACAGAAAATGCATAACGAAACGTATACACCAAGATGGCGGCGCCCGTATGTTTGGGCACCACCATATTCATGTATACCAAGATAAACCCAAAGATGGCGGCGTGCCTGCGCAGAACGCGCCGGCGGCCAATATGGCCGCCGAGCGTTCTGCAAACGAATTTATGCATGTCCGAATATAGTTTTGGTATATTCGGGCATATAATAAATATATGAATATGACGCAATTCAATTATTTACTTTACAATAGAAACAAAACAAATTTTTGGCAGCGCTAGCGGGGAGCGATATGAATGATAGCGTGGAACTGCGTCACATTTATGGTGCTGTATAAATACCGGAAATAAAGAAATAATAAGGTGAACGGAATGGCGTTGAGTTTGCGGTGTGTTGGACGTCGTTTTATTGTTACATAAAATACAGTTTTTCCCTTTTTTTCATCATTCGTTACATCTCAGAGCCGCTGATCTCCTTTAGGCCCCGCCCACACCAAAATCACAACACCACTATACTATGAGCAGATCAAACTTGAGCGTTAGGGGTTAATCGTGAGGATTGTGAGATGGAACGTGACGCTCATCCCGCCCTGTATGTTGTCCTGACAGAGGTGCCTCGGGGAGCGCTCGGTCATGTGTGCGGATAATTGTTTTTAATCTCAAACTCGTTTATTGCGTCCGGGTATTTCTGCGCGGTGAATGATCATGTAAAGGGGAAACTGGCGAAGTCACATGACCGGTCTTCCCAGGTCCGGGAATTCCCAGGTGTTTACTAGGAGCTCCTGAGCGGAGCAATCACAGAGTCACAGGGACACGCAGGTCACCGAATTGCTTCGTTTATATGTTTATTAAACAATTGTTCACAGGGACACCAAAACATAGTAAATGAATGGAAGACCTCATCATCATCAATCATCATCCTCATCATCCTCCTCATCAATCATCATCATCATCAATCCATCATCATCATCAATCATCAATCATCATCAATCATCATCATCATCATCCTTCATCATTCATCACAACTGACAGTCTGTAACTCCGCCGTTTGTTCTCTGTCATGTAGGATTCCAGCACTGAAGGGAAAATTGTCAGGGGGTGACAATGCCTTCACCTTTCTCTCCAGAAGGACGGGGCCATCTTTGTTCAGGCATCACCCACGGTCACCATCTACTTCCTGGACTGAGATGCCGGCTCAGAGATGACACAGTTATGTAAATCCCGGTGTATTTGCAGTTCTTGTTCACAAATGTCTGACATAGATCAGCCCCTGCTGCAGCCCCTCACCTTGCAGCTTGCTACAAAGTAGTTACAATGTTGCAGTCAGCTGACTGGGGGGAGGGGAGACTGAGGAAATGCCTCCTCCTGCCTGCAGCAGAGTGATCACTGGTGGTGGGGGGATGGACTGAGGAAATATTTCCTCCTATCTGCAGAAGACCGATCACTGGGGGAGGGGGCACACTGAGGAAATGCTTCGTCCTGCCTGCAGCATACTGATCACTGGGGGAGGGGAGACTGAGGCTATGCTTCCTCCTACCTACAGCAGACTAGGGGAGACAAAATGTGGGTTTTAAAGGGTTATTAAACCCTCCATATTTTTTTGCATATATCTATATATCTAGCAAGCAGTAGATATATGCAAAAACTTAAAAAAAAAAAAAACCTTTCAGACAGGTTAATACTTACCTGTGTCTTCGCCGCGCGCTCCAGTCCGAAAATCTGAAAAATCTCGGGCGGCCGCAAAGCATCTTGGGGTGGGCGCATGCGCAGTTTAGATTTTCGGCCGGGACGCGAGGAGAGACGCAAGGTAAGTCTATGGACGGCGTGCACCCGCATGCAGACACCGTGGGACAGGAAGTGCCAGCATGGACAGAGTCAGCGCTGGATCGGAGACCCGCCGGAGCGCTGGAGGGACAGATGAAAACGACAGGAAAGAAGAAGAAGATCGGATTAGGAGACATCTTTTACTGTAAGTGCTGACATTTACATTGGGGGGAGGGGAAAAAATTAATACTTTAAAGGAGAACTATGGGGTTAAGTCTTTTCCCCATAGTTCTCCTTAGGGTAACAGGAGGACACAAACTAGCGTCCTCCCGTCACCCTAGGCTCAGTATACCGCGAGCCACAGCTCGCGGTATACTGAGACGCCGCGGCTGAAGCGGATCCCGACAATTGTGCCGGGATCCGCCCAGCTGCGTGACTGACAGCTGGCTCTGCCTATCTAGAGCTGTACCCGCCCCCTCCCCCATCCGTTCCGCCAGTCAGCGCTGGCGGATCGGAGCGGGGAGGGGGGAATCCAGCCGTGACAGGATCGAGAGGTGAGCGAACGCCGGTATGTGTTCGCTCACTTCCCGATCTACTGAGCCGACCTGTGACAGTCTCATTGTTACAGGTCGGCTAGAACTAGG